CCTGAGGACTGATGGGGAAAAAACAAAAATCTTACATTCATGTTTGCACTTGCTGGTCTTTTTGTTTCTGCACTAATGCACAGTGAGTTTTGTTGGGGTTTGTTTGAGGGTGTTTTGAGGGGGGGAGTGCCCCTCAAGCCATTCTGCAGTTCCCAGACTTTGGTTCCTGGTTTGCTGACGAGAAGCAAAAATTGAAAATTAATAAACCCAACCAACCAAGGGCCATGTGTCGCGGAGGCGTCGCCGCAGGCGCCTCCGCCCTGGTTTTTTTATTTTTTAAAGGCGCTTTTTTACATTCCTTGCAATACTGGTGGAGAGAGCGCAGGTCTCATTGGTCATTGTTTTGCCGTTGCCATACAGTGCCTTTCCATTCATTTACCCCCACCTGGATGGTGTGACCTGGGTGTTCAGCTGGCGTTTTTTACTGTAACAACAAGGAGACTTTGCTCTTCATTTAAACCAAATCATATTTCATATTTTACGCTCGAGGGTTTTTACGAGTTCCTTTTTACACTCTTAAAAACAGTTTTTAAGTCGTTTGAAACGAGAGATTTTTTTCTTTTCCTGGCAGCTTTTAACATTATTGCAATTTGTGTCTGGGGGCTGATGGCAGGACGTTGCAAATCTGGGGGTTTGCAACGGGACAGGCTGGGCTTTTTTTTTGTTTTTGGAGTTGAAACTGGACGGGATGAGGATCTCTGAGCTGCTGTATATAGTTTTAAATAGTTTGTTGCACTTTTTTAAGTTGCACTTATGGGGGGTTGATAGAGGTTTTTAATCACACAAAGTCACAGGACTTACCTTTTCTTTTGTAACAAGCTAAAAAAGGGCTGCGTTCTGGTGGACGATGAAGGTTCCTGGGAGCCCTTTTTCTTAGAGGGGACAAGTAATTTTCCTTTCCTTCCTGAGATGTTTGGAGTATCAGTGCAGTCGACTGAAATGCTGCTGCTGGGATTTGAGACCTTAATTATGCTGATCATTATTATTTTGTTACTTTCCCCTCTATTGGAAGCTGTGTGCCAAAGAACCAGTGTCATAATTTCTCCCTCTTTACTATGATTATTTTTTTTTTCTTTCCTGCTGAGCTGATGTTGCATTGTTGCATATCCCAGCTGCTCTTTGTGGGGTTTTGTGAAGCTGTGTGTGAAGTCTCTACCTCATTGTAGTATATGCAGGCAAGACTGCACTCTCCTACAGACGTGTGGAGTAAGCTGTGGTGTAGTTTTTGGCACATAATAAACACGTTGCAGCAAAAAAAAAAATTCTTGTGCCTTGTGTGCTTTTCATGGGCGATCTCTATGGCTTGGAGGCTGTGGTGTCACTCACTGCCTGGAGCTGTGGGGGAGGTATGGATGTGGTTTGTGGGGAGGGATGGATGGAGCTGTGAATTGTGGATGCTGGTGGGTGACTCAGCTGCGAGGGAGCTTTATCTGCTGCTAAACCATGCGTGGTTTAGATCCCACTTACCTGAGGTCCCTGCAAGCCCCTAGGCTCCAGCTGGAGCTCCCCTAATTGCAAAAAAGTTAATGAGGCTGATGGGGAGGGCCTGTGTTGCCCTGTGTCCTCCCACTGTGGCTGCTCCTGCAGGGCTGTGAGGGGAGAGGGACCCCAGGGCTCCTCTGAGGGCTCGGCAGGGTTCGAGTTGGACTCACAGTGCCACAGAGGCGGCCCGTGTGCGCCGCACGTCCTGCAGCAGGGCAGGCTTCCCGCAGCGCTCACTCAGCAGCCTTGCTGCGGTCACCCCCCCTCGGGGGCTGGGTGCTGCGGTTTGTGGGTGCTCGGTGACCTCTCGGGCCGGCTGTGGCGGGGCCGCTGCCGCTGGCTCCGCGGCTCTCCGGGATTCTCTGGGAATTCCTTCCCGGGCCGCTCCGTCCTGTTCCGGGGCGGCCTCAGGCTGCGGCCCTCCGCGCCGCCAGGGGGCGCGCTGCCCGCGCTGGCTTCCGGCCTCTCCCGCCCTCCCCCGCTCCTTTTCCGCGGCCGCCGCCGACATGGTGGGTCCGGCTCCGCCATCCGCCGCCATCCTCGGGCGGGCCCGCGCCCCCGCGGCGGAGAGCGCCGGCGGGGATCGGGGGGAACCGGGGCGAGGGGCAGTGGGGGGCGGCGGGGGCCGGGATGGCTGGGGAAGGGGGAACTGGGGTGCGGGGCGCTGGGCCCGGGCTCGGCGGAGCCTGACCGGCGGCGCTCCCGCCCGCCCCGCGTAGGGACGCGTTCGGACGAAGACGGTGAAGAAAGCGGCGCGGGTGATCATCGAGAAGTACTACACGCGCCTGGGGAATGACTTCCACACCAACAAGCGCGTGTGCGAGGAGATCGCCATCATCCCCAGCAAGAAGCTGCGCAACAAGATTGCGGGGTGAGGCACTGCGGGCCGCGAGTGGGCGTGGGGTAGCGGAGAGTCCAGGATGGGCTGTGGGCAGCTGGGGGTGCCCCGAGGGGTTCGTACATCGGAAGGTCCTGGGGGATTCGGGCACGCCGTGGGGTTCCTGCTGGGCCCTGCATTCGAAAGTGATTACGGTCCCGCCTGTGGCCGGGTCATTGATAGTGCAGGGAGAGGAATGCGAGAGTTTTCCCGTGTTTGGGGGGGTCTTTGTCTCCCCCAGACCCTGTTACTGTCGGACACTTTGTCTCTGATGTCCCCTGGAGCCTGTGGGGTGATGCCCGGGTCAGTGGTGGGACATCACCGTGGTAGATGGTGGCAGCTTTTCTCATCCTGCTGTGGTTCCGGGATTTTGGGTGTGGGGAAGGGTGACATGAACCCCGGGAAAGCCCAGGACATCCCCGTGTCCCCGCAGGTATGTCACTCACCTCATGAAGCGAATCCAGAGGGGCCCTGTCCGCGGCATCTCCATCAAACTACAGGAGGAGGAGAGGGAGAGGAGGGACAACTACGTCCCAGAGGTGAGGCTCCAGCTTCCCCCATCGCTCTGTTCTGCAACGCTGTATCTCCATAAACAGTCCCAAGTTTAAAACAAACCCTCAGCCAGGAGGAGCTGAGGAGGGCTTGGATCAAGAAGGCCGAGGTGGCTCCCTCCAAAGCTGACACCTGGGACAGGAAGGACAGCTGGCTTCTCGTGTTTGGTTTTCCTAACTTAAAATTCAGGAAAAAATAATTTGATGGGAATTAGGAGGGTATTTCAGAGCAGCTGAAAACCTGCCTTGCAGCTGGAATCCCCAGAGGGAGGTTTTGGTAAAATTCCTTTGCCTTAACCCTCTGTTTGGGTGGGGTCTAGATCTCACCTGTCACCTGGGTGAGATGGTCCAGGAGGGCTTGCCTTGTTCCAGGAATGTGATCCTGGTGCTCCTAAATCCTGTAGCCTTCAGGTACAGCCCATATCTTGCCCTTTTCCCAGATCTTCCCAGTCAGCTCCTGGCAGAGCTGCTGGTTTCTGTGCTAGTATTAGGGGTTACAGGGAAGGGACTACAAGCAGGGAAGGAATGTCCATGTTGCAGCTGTTGGTGCAGTGTCAGCACACAAAATCTGTGCTGCTTTTGGTTTCTTTGAAAAATCCTGGTGTTACGTAGCTCCTGGGGAAGGAAACCTGTAGAGGAAGAGTTTTTGGGGTCTGCAGAGGGCTAGAGGAAGTTTTGCTGGGATTAAAGAGCAGGAGAACACAGTTGTCCTGGAGGTAGAACCACATTTATTTGCACCGTGGTGGACTTGTGTCACAAGGCAGCTGTGAATGTCACTGATGACTGCCAGGACTGGTGTGGGTGAGGGTCCAACACCAGCTCCTCAGCAGCCTTGGCCTGGAGCCTTGGTTGGGCCTAGATTTCCAAATATTTTCCATAAAACAGGCTTTTCCTTCTGCTGCCAGTGTCCTTTTGCAGTGTTCAGTCAAAAAAGCTGTGTTTCCATCAGGATGCTCCTGGCTCTGCGGCTGAACCATTCCCCACAGCCAGTGGGATGAGATCAGAGACCAGAGGGGACATTTGGGTTGTTGTGGGGCTTTATCATCACACCTTTTCTCTTCTCTTTGTCCCCAGGTCTCTGCCCTTGACCAGGAGATCATTGAAGTGGACCCAGACACCAAGGAAATGCTGAAGCTCCTGGTTAGTAGCCACAACTGTTCTTCCAGCTGCTGGCATATCCCTGGCACACCTCCTGCTGCCCTGAGTGGCTGGATGGTGTCAAGGGCTTCCCTCTGCCCTGGGTCCTGTGGGAGGATTAGTTCATGTATGGATTTTGAAAGGGCAGGTATGGGCCTTTGCCACCAGCAGGGTGGGTGTTTCTTGCCCTCTATTCTGATGATTCCCTCACCAAGGAGTCAATCTCTGGAGCAGAGTGGTCTCTTGTTTGGAGACCTCTGTCCACCCTTTGTGCTGCCACAGCACCTTCCTGGAGGAACTTGCCTCCACTGTCAGTGGGCAGGATGCTGTGACTGATCCCATTGTTGCCTTGCTGTTTTGCAGGATTTTGGCAGCCTGTCCAACCTGCAGGTGACACAGCCTACAGTGGGAATGAACTTCAAGACGCCTCGAGGAGCGCTCTGAGTCTGTCCCTGTGTGTCGCTTTTACAATAAACGTGAGGAAACCATCTCAACCTGCCTGGTCTTTAGACACCCAAGGGATGGGGGCGGGTGGGTTCTCAGGGTGCCACGCTGGGGCACACAGAGGACTCAACACCTTCATGTGTACCAGCATCTTTTTGGGTTCTTTCCTGGTTGTTTGGGGTGTGAAGTACAAAGCTGTTACTTTGGAGGCTCTCCTGCCTTTGGGGCAGTGGGAGAACAGCCGTGGTGGCTCCTTGGAGCTTGTGGGAGCCTATCCTAGGTTTACCTGTGCTTCCTCCAAGTGGACAGCCCGGGGATCAGGCTGTACCATAATGGAAGTTACTTTTCCAAGTGCTTAAATGAAAGGGAGAAGTCTTAAAATTCCTTAATTAAATGAAAGTAAGGAGACCTTTGTGTGCCACTCCAAGGAAAATTTTTAAACTAGTTAAAACACAGCTTAAACCACCACCACCCCCCTGCCCCAAAATAAAAAGAAAATATTTCTGTTTTGAGGAGAAATGTCTGTATTTATGTTTTTTGTGAAATTTAGTTTAAGTAGTTATTTAAAGAAGTAAATACTATAACTGCAGCCAGTACTTAAATAACACATTGAGTGCTCTGAGCTGCAGTCAGATAATTTATATAAATCATCTGGCAGCTCTTAGATTGAAGTTTTTGCTGCTCCAGCCACCTGTTCCTTACCATTTCCTCTTCATTTTGGTCTTCTCACAGGAAGTGCTAAATTTGCTTTGAACCCAGTACACTGCATAGCCCGAGGTGCCGGGGATAAAGTCATGGAGTTCCCCCTCATATTTCTTCATGTCCTGTGCAGAGGCATAGCCTGTGGAGGGAAGATGGGCTCACTGAGTCCCTGCTCCATCTGCAGCCCTTTCCAGGTGTATTTATTTACCTGTCACCATGTTATTTATCGGGTATTCCTGGAGGGCACGGTATGGAAATTCTCCCTGGGCAGGTGCTTCAGAGTCTGTTTCTTCACTGCTGTATCAGGAGGGGAAAAAAAAAAAAAATCTGTGTGTTAGGTTTGCTTGGAATCAGGGGTGCATTCAAATCCCATCACTCAAGGTAGGAAAATACCTCTCAGCCAGGTCTAGCACTTCTTCCTCTGATTCTTCCTCACAGCTGTTTCTTGCTGTTTCTGATTCCTGTGTCGGATTTTCTTCGGGCTGTGAATATCAGCACAAGAATGAGTTACAGTTGTGCCCTGGGTCACCTGCAGAACACCTGGGATGCACTCTTGAGTGCATAAATTTTTTAAATCTAAGGGCATTCCAGCTTCAAAGGTGCTGGGAAGTTGCTTTGAGAGGAGAGTGGGTAGTCATGGGATAGGAAAACACTGCACCAAAGGACTGAGCTCAGCCTGTGGCAATTGGAATCCCTGGAACAGCACACTGCTGAGAGACTAGGTATGTCTGGTCAAGGGAGACAATCCTTGCAGTGCTGTCCCCGCCCCCAGGATGCCATGTTGGGAGGGACACAAAGCACAGCAAGCACAAGGAATCAGAATCAATTAGGTTGGAAAAGACCATGGGGTCCAGCTAATGGCCAATCACCATCTTCCCAACCAGACCAGAGCACTGAGTGCCACATCCAGTCATTCTGGGCAGCCCATTCCAGTGCCTAATCACCCCTTCTGGGAAGAAATTCTTTCTGATGTGTAAACCTGTCCTGGTGCAGCTTAAGGAAATGTCCTCTCATCCTGTCCCTTGGGCCCTGGGAGCAGCACCTGACCCCCCACCCAGCTCCACTCTCCTGTCGGAGTTGTGCAGAGTCCCCTCTGAGCCTCCTTTTCTCCAGGTTGAGCCCCCCAGCTCCCTCAGCTGCTCCTGGTGGTCCAAACCCTTCCCTGGCTCAGTTCATTCTCTGGCCCTTTTCAGCACCAAAATGTTCTTGAATTGAATTGAGGGGTCCAGAACTGGACACAGCAGTCAAGTTGGGGCTTCAGCAGTGCCCAGTGCAGGGGGAAAAATCACTTCCTGGTCCTTCTGGCTACACAGGCCAGGTGCCACTGGCATTCTTGGCCACCTGGGCTCATGTTCAGCTGCTGTTGATCAGCGCTCCCAGAACCTTTCTTGCTGGAATGCTTTCCTGCCACTCATCCGAGTCTGGCTCTGCAGGGGTTATTGTGGCCAAAGTGCAGGACCCAGACCTTGGCATTGTCGACCCTCATACAAATGACCCCGGTCCACTGATCCAGTCTGTCCCTCAGCAGAGCCTTCCTAGCCTCCAGGAGAACCACACTCCCACTCAACTGTGTGTCACCTGTGTATCTGACAATGGTGGACTCAGTCCACTCATTCAGATCTTCAGTAAAGATACTGAATAGGACTGGGCCCAACACTCATCCCTGGGGGACACCACTGGTGACCAGACACCAATTGTCCAAGCTGTGAGCTGCAGTTTTCCAGGAGATGCTGTGGGAAATAGTGTCAAAGGCTTTGCTGATGTCCAGGTAGGCACATCCACAGCTTTTCCTTCATCCAGGTGAGTCCTCTTGTCATGAAAGGAAATCTGGTTGGTCAGGTAGGACCTCCCCTCCTAAATCCATGCTGGCTGGGTCTGATCCCTTCCTTTTCCTGGAGTGCCGTGTGATGGTACTCAGGGTGATCTGCTCCATAACCTTCCCTGACACCTGTCACACTGAAAGGTCTGTTAATTCCCTAGATCCTCCTTCCATCCCTTCTTGTGGATGGGTGTCACATTAATAACTTGTCATCTGGGACCTCCCCAGTGAGCCAGAACTTACTATAGAGCATGGACAGCAGCTTGGCAAGCTCTTCCTCCAGCTCCCTCGTCACCCTGGGATAGATCCCATCAAGGCCCATGGACTTGTTAGCATCTAAGTGGCACAGCAAATCAGTAACTGCCTCCTCCTGGATTTCTGGGGGTCCATTCTGCTCCTCATGTCTGTCTACCAGCTCAGGGGGCTGCTTGTCCTGATCCAACCAGTCTTAGTGTTGAAGACTGAGCCAAAGAAGGTGTTAAGCACCTCAGCCTTTTCCTAGTCTTTGGTGATGGACACTCCAATAAAGAATGGAGGTTTTCCTTGGCCCTCCTTTTATTAATAAAATATTTATAAAAGTATTATTCTTTACAGAGGTGGCCAGATTAAGTTTTAACTGAGCTTTCACCTCTCTGATTTTCTTCTTTCTGCATGACCTAAGGATGTCTTTAAATGCTTCCTGAGTTGCCTGCCCCTATTCCCCAAAATTATATATGCTATTTTCCCCCTAAATTCCTGTGAAAGCTCCCTGCTCAGCACAAGCTCGTCCTCCAGCACATACATGTGCAGTACAAATTTTTCATCTTACCTGTTCTTCAAGGGCGTCTGCCTTCTCCCAAATAAACCGGCCAATTTTCCTTCTGATTTCTGACAAGAACAAAATTAGTGACTGTGAGAGCACCAAAAAACAGGACTGTGGCAGTTGCTGCCAGTGTGATGCCCTGCAGGTGCCTCTGGGGACAAGCCCAAATGCAAGGTCCTGCCCTTGGGCCAGGGCAATCCCAAACACAAATTCAGGGTGGGCAAGGATGGATTGAAAGCAGCCCAGAGGAGAACATGGGTATGTTGGTGGATGAAAAGCTCATGGATATGACCTGGCCATGTGTCCTGAACACGTCCCACAGTGTGGGCAGCAGGTGAGGGGAGGACTCTGCCCCTCTGGCCCTCTCAGGAGCAGCAGTGCTCTTCCAGCTCTCCTCCCAACAGCAGAGGGACATGTAGCTGCTGGAGAGTGTCCAGAGGAGGCCATGGAGATGTTCCAAGGACTGGAGCCCCTCTGTTCTGGAGCCAGACTAGGAGAGCTGGGGGTGTTCACCTCGAGAAGAAAAGGCTCCAGGGAGACTCCAGGGCCTAAAAGAGGCTCCAGGGGTTGGTTGGAGAGGGACTGGGGAAAAACGCCTGGAGTGACAGGACAAGGGGGAAAGGCTTCAAACTGACAGAGGGCAGGGTTAGATGGGATACTGGGAAGAAATTCCTCCCTGTGAGGGTGGTCAGGGCCTGGCACAGGTTTCCCAGAGAAGCTGTGGCTGCCCCATCCTGGGAATGTTCAAGGTCAAGCCCATTCTGTGACAACAGATGGATCATACTCTGCTCTCTGGGAGGAAGAGCCACACCCAAGCAAGAAGGAAAGGTCCCTCCCTGCAGACAAGTGTCAGTTCTGGTTTGCACCAAGGCTGTACTCATGGGGGATTTCCCTGGGAAAATATCCCCAGATTATTTTTTTTTGCCTGACCTTCATGCAGGCAGGCAGGGGGCAGGACGAAGTGGCCCAGAGCCACCGAGGGCCTCTCTCCAGCGCCGATGCTCACACACGCTGAGAGGTAACAGGAGTGAAAGACGGTGGCTCTGCCCTCCAAGTAACTGAGACTCTCGTGTATGCTGGAAGAGAGAAAGAGAGCTGGTTTCCAAAGGAGAACCTGGATGCAAACCAAAACAAAAACATTTAGAGGAGTGTTGTCTGGTCTGATTTTTTGCTAAAAGCACCTAATTTTCTGTGATTTTCTACCTGTGAGATTCTACCAGTCACGTTCTGTTACAGTCCCAGCTGCCAGCACCTCCCAGGGGCAGCATGGAGGAGGGACAAGGGTAAATGCATTTTTAGGGATTACACAGCCCCACTCTGCTCTTGAGGTGAAACTACTCCGGGGAGAGCAAAGACAGGATTTTTCTACAATTACCTATCACCACACTGGCTCCTACTCATACAGCTGAGCAAGGAATTGGAGATGGAGGATGTTCCAGCCCTCACTGTCCTCCTTAGAGGGGAAATAAATCTTGTTTGCTGGGTTTAAGGATGTGTATAATTGATTACATTTTTTTCACAAGGAGCTATCTAACTATATACATTGACTATATATATATATATATATTTTTTTTTTTTTTTTTTTTTTTTTTTATATATATATACATTTTTTTTTTTTTTTTAATTATCCAGAATTCCCAATTCCCCTGGAGGAATTTTGCCAAACCAGGACTGGTCTGGCCGGATGTTGTTGCAGAAGTTGTTATTCTGTGTTTACTGGAATTCCCCTTGCTTAGCTGGAGGAGGTGGTTGAAAGATTCCAAAATTCAAAGCCAGTTTTAAGCAGTGGTGTGTCAAAAAGAAACTACTTAGTTCAGCCTAGCAAAGCCCAAAAGAAACATTGCAGCTTCCTTTCTCATACATATGTTTACATGACTAAATAATGAATAAATACAAATATTCACTGATATTGAGGAAGCGAGGAAGGTCCTTAAGACTTTCCTTAAATAAGTACAAATGTTCCATAAGTCTCTGTTTTTTTAAATTAAGCATTTCAGCCTTTTTCCATCCATTTTTACCCCAGTGCTTCCTTTTACCATTAATTCACACTTGCTTTTTAGCACTAGGTTTCTTCCTCGGGAATTTTATCACCTCTGTTTTAGATGCTGACTTTCCAGACGATAATTCACAGCCAGCAAGAAACCAAGTTAATAATTTATATCACAGTTAAGCCCTTCTCAACACATGGATGATTTTTCTCTATGCCATCTATCTAAAGCTTAATGTGGGTGTGAGTCTTCCTGACCCCACTGGGCAGTAAGATCCTGGCAGATCCACACCATGACTTTAAAAACACACCCTTGACTTTTACAAGATGTCAGTATCTATGAAACACTTTTCACTAAATACATCAAAGCCTCCTTTGCCCACCTGCGGGTGTCAGGGTGGGCAGCATCGCTGCTGAAGAGGTAGTCAGCATCCAGCCAGTGGGTGATCGTCCCGCCACCGTCTGCTGCAGGGGACAGGGAGTGAGGTGAGGATGGCATCCAGGGGGTTCCCACCTCGGGGTGACCTGGCACAGTGACAGCTGCTTGTGAGGCCGCAGAGATGGGCCCTGAAGTGGAAGCTGTGACAGCTCCCCATGGCTGTGGGACTCCCGTTGCTCCCCAGGGCTTTTCCTCAGCGTGGGGAAACTGGCCAGACTCATGCTCTGCTCTGTTGTGTGGGTCTCAGTCCCACCAAAGGGTGACAGGGCTGTGTCCCCACTGCTGTGCCCTGCTGAGGAATGGTGGGGCTGCGCTCCCTTCCTGATTCCCCCTGAGCGGTGACAGGCTGTGCCCCTGCCAATTCCCCCGCGGATTCCTCCCGGCTCTGTGCCCCGGGGCTCCCTGGACTTCGCTGTCGTCTGGCCCCCTCACCCCACAGCCCCCGCGGGCCCGGGCTGACGCTCTGCGAGAACCAAGCGCGGTGTCCGCGGAACATCGCGGCGGGAGCCGCCCTGAGGGGACCCGAGGGCGGGAACGGCGCTGAGGGGCTGGGGGGAGGCGAGAACCGCCCTGAGGGGCTGGAAGAAGGCGGGAACAGCCCTGAGGGGAACGGCCCTGAGGGGCTGGGGGGAGGCGGGAACCGCCCTGAGGGGAACGGCCCTGAGGGGCTGG